TAAGTGTTTAGGGTGTGTCTGAAGTGTGTTTGTAAGTGTTGAGTGTCTGAGATGTGTTTGTAAGTGTTGAGTGTCTGAGATGTGTTTGTAAGTGTTTAGGGTGTGTCTGAAGTGTGTTTGTAAGTGTTTAGGGTGTGTCTGAAGTGTGTTTGTAAGTGTTTAGGGTGTGTCTGAAGTGTGTTTGTAAGTGTTTAGGGTGTGTCTGAGGTGTGTTTGTAAGAATTTAGAGTGTGTCTGAAGTGCGTTTGTAAATATATTGAGAGTGTGTTCAGATATTGTTTAAACTATTCAGTAACTAACTCGCCAAACATTACTAACCTTCTTCAGTATCCGCCTCGCCAACTGATTTCTCCCGGAACTGACTCACCAATTACTACCCTTCTCAAGAACTGACTCGCCAATTACTACCCTTCTCATGAACTGACTAGCCAATTATTACACTTCTCATGAACTGACTAGCCAATTACTACCCTTCTCAAGAACTGACTCTCCAATTACTACCCTTCTCAAGAACTGACTCGCCAATTACTACCCTTCTCAAGAACTGACTAGCCAATTACTACCCTTCTCAAGAACTGACTCTCCAATTACTACCCTTCTCAAGAACTGACTAGCCAATTACTACCCTTCTCAAGGACTGACTCTCCAATTACTACCCTTCTCAAGAACTGACTAGCCAATTAACTTCCCCATTACTCAGGCTTATGCTTCATGTCAACCAGTTAGATACAGTCTAACATCTCTAGTTAAAGGGAAAATTTTAACCTTACGTTCTATTTGTGAATTAATTGCTCTTACCATTCCGAGATCAGGGTAAAATTTTGCGAATCATTTTTGTTTTTGTTTTAGGTCATAAAGTTTATACGTCAAGCTTAATTAACTCTCTCTCTCTCTCTCTCTCTCTCTCTCTCTCTCTCTACTATTTGAATATTATGTATACTTCCCATAAGGAATGAATACACTATGGATAAACATCATGTCTACATTATAATTATGTATAATTGGGTCACTATACATTCTTTTTACGCTTTTATTGGAATGAATTAATGAATGAAAACGGTAATTAAATATTCAGGTATTATTTTTTATTGATAGCATAAGAATTAGACTACACTTGTGTTATTTTCTTCTTACCTGGCGAGTACACAGAGCATATCCAGGTGTTCGTTAATGAACTTAGGACCTAACTAAGCGCGGGGAGATTAATCGATATTTGTAATTATTGGTTTTCAGGAAGTGCCGGCGTCTTATCTCTCTCTCTATCCGTTCCTCTCCCTCTCCGCCCTCTCTCTTTTTGCTCACTCTCCCTACCCCCTCCCTTCTTCCAATACCCCATTCGAATTACGAGGGATACGTCCACAGGGGGGGGGAAGAGATAATTCACATTATTAGGAAGCTATTCACAAGAGGTCTCTCCAGCCCAGCGGAGAGACGTAATTGACTGGGAAACCCTCGCCACGGTCTCCAGTCTACAGGTAAACCTTTTTGAGCACACCAAGTCATCCTGAAATGGTAGCGGAGATTTCAGTAACGCTGTAGTGAAGAATTCTGAAATATTAATGTAAGTGAATGTAATATTAATGAAACGTAATGTAATGTGAGTGGCAGTTCCATAAACTTTCTCTCTAACTGTTAACTGATATTTCTGTGCCATCCAGTTGACGATTAGGAACTGTCATAGTGTCTTTCCGTCAGTCAGCTGTTGAGTGGGAGGTGTGACAGTCTCTCCAACAGTCAGCTCACGACTGGGCAACTTTAAGGTTTTGCAGTATAGATCTGAATGGCGGCTTCTCCCTCCGTCTCGATTATAAGTTGAGTGAGAGAGAGAGAGAGAGAGAGAGAGAGAGAGAGAGAGAGAGAGAGAGAGAGAGAGAGAGAGAGAGAGCATGGTTGTGGGCTTTTGTGTATGCGTGTATTAAATAAATAATAACTAATGTGTCCTATTCTCTTACCTGTGTGACGCATTGTGGGAGTTACACCGGAAAGATAATATAAGCCCCAGGTGACTCAGTACATCGTGGATAAGACGGACAAAGATTCGTGACAATAAGGCCTCTAATAATAATGATAATAATAATAATAATAATAATAATAATAAGTGATAATTACAGCAATAGGTCCAAGGAATTTGTTTCAGTTCAATTGACTCGTGTGATTTCAGGTGTGACGTGTGAGAAAATAGGATTGTCATAAATTTCCTAACTAAAGAGTGAGGAGTGAGGGGAGTAATGAGGAGTGAGGGAGGGGGGGTCAAGGAGTTCAAGTGTGGTAGGTGTGGGAGCCTTAAGGATGACCTCCTCTCCCCATCACCGGTGAGGACGACCTTCAAGTACCACCTCAGGCAAGTTAAAGATCGAGTCGTGAGGTTTTTGAGGTGTACGAAGGTGATCCATAGTCACACCTCTTCTTCTTCGTCTGGTGTCGGGGGATGAGGCGTGAGTTTATCTCCGGCGCCTTGACTTAAAGATGGGAGTCCGTGCAGGAGCTAAAGAAGGCTGCTGGGGTGAGGAGGAGGCTACGGTGTGGTGTGAGGATCATGAGGAGGAGGCTGGGGTGTGGTGTACATTTTCATTATATACCCAGAGTCTGAAAAACAAGTGGACCCCCAGTCCACCCAACTGTGACTGTGTACCTAACTTTACAATGGGAAATTACTGATGGCCGAGTGCAGTGCAGTGCAGTTTTAGCTAAACTGTGTACCGAAGTTGAAGTGGCAGATCAGATTACCGGTATATAATTATACGATGTTAATATAGTTCATTTACAGTTATTTTGAAGATGAAAATTTTATTGGGAATTCGTATCTATGTTGGAGTCTACATCAACCTCGCAGTCGCTCCTCCCTGTTGCCCGTTACTCCTCTGACTAACTCGGCGCGGCATGGACCGGGGTTTTATATACCTCGTCGACACACTGATGATGTCATCACTGCGTCGTTGATGACGTGGAAGGCGGAGGTGGAGGAGAAGGAGGAGGGGAGTGCCAGAGGTCCGCGCCGTGTGTCAGCAGCGCTCTCGTGTTGACATATAGATGCTACCTCGTCTTGTCTTGCTAGCGAACACCGCCCGGCACCTCGCTGGCTGCCGGTCGCTTATAATACATAGAGAGAAAATTAAGCAAATTAACTTGTAAACAAATGTAAGGTTTTATTATTATTATTATTATTATTATTATTATTATTATTATTATTATTATTATTATTATTATTATTATTATTATTATTATTATTATTATTATTATTATTATTATTATTATTATTATTATTATTGTTATTATTATTATTATTATTATTATTATTATTATTATTATTATTATTATTATTATTATTATTATTATTGTTATTATTATTATTTATCGTGCCTAAACAATTACCTTAGTTAAGTTTTCATATAGTTTGTTGACATAACAGATAGAAAACTCAATGGCTTTTCAGTAGGATGAGTAGACCGACCAACACTGTTTCTTTTACTCTCACGTCCTGTTTAATTCACTTTTTTTTCTCTTTTTTATTGTGTGTTTGTTTGTGTATCTCTCGCTCTCTGTCTCATTATATCTCTCTTTATCAGTCTTCCTCGACCTTTCTTCCCACTCCTTTCTCTGTCTCTCTCTCTATCTCCTTATCTCGCTCTTTCTCATTCTCTCTACTTGTATACGAGGATTTACAAACGTTCCTAAACAAACTAGTTCTTCGTGAATGAAAATGTAAACACCATTCAACTTCATTTACACCAAAACACGTAATTTACAGCCACACGTCCGTTCACTTAGATCATAATATATAGATAAAGATCCTACGAGTATACGCTGGTTTTGTTAAAAGAACGTATCTAGTTAATTTAGGTATTAAGTGAACGTATCTAGTTAATTTAGGTATTAAGTGAACATAAAACAAGATTCCTTAAACTACGACAAACGTTCCTACTTTTGCATTAATTTTATTTATATCAGACATATTAAGTTCACTTTACCTTCCTTTCATATATGGTCATAAAGTCTCTGTGTTTGTTTGGGCCTGGACCACAAAGGGACACTGTGGGTATGAAGCTAGCAAGTAGTGTTTTGGATACGGTTAAACGCAATGGAAAGAGAACAGCATCGTGTTGTATACTTCGCCTTAGGTCCTTAGAGGCATTGATCCCTCTCTAAAATGTGCTTGTATAGATAATAGTGTAGTCGGTGTAGATGATAGTGTAGTCGGTGTAGATGATAGTGAAGTCGGTGTAGATGATAGTGTAGTCGGTGTAGATGATAGTGCAGCTGGTGTTGACGTCACCCCAATTGGGTTTCTCCTCCGATTTCTTGACCTAAAAGTTTGCCAAAGGGGGGGGGGGCGAGTGACGTCATTAGTACCAGTTATAGGGTTCTGAGGAAATGAAACCGAAAACGTAACGGAGCTCTACTAAAACCAGAAATCTTGCTACGTCCTATAGTCCAGTGGGATTTATTGTACAACTAACAATGCCTGGACAACGAACTGTGACATCCAGGGTGGCAGAGGATGCACAGGCGTCATCTTGGGTAGGAGGGGAGGGCTTGATGTAGTGTAGGTGATGTACTGTAGGTGATAGTGTAGTTGATGGTAGTGTAGATGATGGTGTAGTTGATGGTAGTGTAATTATGTTAGAACACTAAAAAAAAATGAGAAAATCTGGTTTTTTTAATTAATTACTTAAAGTTGAAACAATATAGTGGTATAATATTGTGTTGATATAAGTCTTAGTAACCCAGATAATAGCTTTGTCACTTGCTCATTATCCAATTTATAAACTTATTTTGCATATTTTCTCTTTAATTAAGCATGAATCAGCTTTACTTATGATTACATAAACACTTTCTAAGTATTCTAGTACTGTAAAGTGAACTAGTGTGTCATTGGTTGTATGTTAGCAAAGGTAACAGAGAGATAACATTATTTATCGCATACACTGGATACATTTGAGACTGTTAACACATCCACAATAATATATATGCTTATCAATTCATTTTCTGTCCGTTTCTAGAATGGCCGTTGTAGGAGACGGACACTAGAACGCAGTAGAGTGAGCGTGGCGGCGTCCGGTAGAACGCATGAGTGTCACCGACAACAAGGCGAATGATCACAAGAGACCACACAGGTGAGACGGTTTCCTCTACCCTACCAGGTCAACGGCCAGGGATGAGGTCAGGTGATATTATTGATATGAGAGATTAATGTTTTATAGTCATACTGTGTTGTGCTGGAGACTTCACTTAGCTCATGTGCATCATCATCATCATCATCATCATCATCATCATCATCATCATCATCATCATCATCATCATCATCATCATCATCATCATCATCATCAGTAGTAGTAATATTTAATTTTAATTAATCGCTTATAATATTTCCATTCCTGTTTTTATTTTTTACATAATTTCTATTAATTATAATTAGTTTTGTATTCTTATCATTAACATTAGCAATTAATCTATAACTAGTGCAAACTGTTATACATTTAATTATCAATTTATTATCATTATCATCATTTAGATGACTCACACTATAGAGCCTAACCTCATAACCTCAAGAAATAAAAACAAATTCTACATGAACTTGTTTTACAGGATTTAAGTGGAGGTGTTGTGGGTGGGAGGGGGGTGAGGTGATAAGACAGAGGGAGGTAAGAGTGAGGTGTTGTAGATAAAAGAGATGGTGGGAGGGTGGGGTGGGAGGGTGGGTGTGGGAGGTGGGTGGAGGACAGGAGGTAAGGAAGGGTGGGTGTTAGGTGGGGTGGAGGTGGAGGCAAGAAGGGATGGGTGTCAGGTGGGAGGGGTGAGGTGTTTATGGGTGGGAGGTGTGATGGTGGGCAGGGAGGTGGAGGTGGTTGGGGTGGAGGGCGGAGGAAGTGGTGGGAGGTAAAAAGGTGGGGCGGGAGGGGCGTGGAGGTGTTGTGGGTGGGAGGTGGAGTGTGGCACAGGGGTGTGAGGATATGGGTGGGGAGGGTGACAAAAAGAGACAAGGGAAGAAGAGGTAAACAGAAAGATGTGTGGAGGTGTTTAAAAGTGCAGGTATGCGGGGGTGGAGAAAGCACAGAATGAAGAGGAACAAGGTGGAGCCCAACTAACGAGTCAAGGCCAAGACAACGAGCTTGTAACGCAATTAATGGCAGTAATGAGGGACTAACGATTCTAATTACTCGCTGTGGTGATCGTAAGGAGAGTGTTTACTGGTCCTGGAGACTTCCGAGGTTAGGTTAGGTGTCAGGTTGGGTGATGACGATATTATGAGTTGACGATAAATATGTGTTAACGAACGACTAATCAAACTAATGAAGCACTAACGACCCTATTGAGGTATTAATGACAAAATTAATTAAGTACCAATGACCCTAATGAGGTACTAATGACCATAATTAAGAAATAACGACTATAATTAAGCACTTACGACGTTAATGAGGCATCAACGACCCTAATTAAGTACTAATGACAAATGAGGCACTAATGACCATACTTAAAAACTAACGACCATAATTAAGCACTAATGACGCTGAAGAGGTAGTAACGATCCTAATGAGACACTAACGACCGTAATTGAGCACTAATGACTCTAATCAAGTACAAACGACCCTAATTAGTCACTTATGACCGTAATTAGACATAGACGAACCGAACTTGGCACTAGATTCGCTAACTAGGTACTGACAACCGTATTTAGGCATTAATGACCCTAACTACTGTAGATACTAATGATGCTAACAAGGCACTAACGATCCTAACTAGGCTTTTGGGCGTGTTGGTCCCGCAGGCACGGCAGCACCGGGAGCCGCAGGTCCGCCCTCGCCCGCAAGCTTAGCCGCGGCTCTGTGCAGGACTCCTCCCACGCCTCCGTAGATGCCCACTCACAGCACTCCAACAACCCCGCTAAGGTGAGTGTCACGCCCTCTCCCATGCCTCCTCCCGCGCCTTCTTTCACGCCTTCTCCCACGCCTCCTTTGCCTCCTATCACGCCTCCTCCCACACGTTTTTTTGTTTTAATATTTGAAAAACATGGCGCCATGCACTCCAGCCAATCACAGTCTGGCTGACGGGCGCTGCCTACCCAGATGTGTGCTACTTGGTCACCAATCATGAGAGGTGATAATGTTGACTCTACATATGTTTACATCTCTCTCTCTCTCTCTCTCTCTCTCTCTCTCTCTCTCTCCTCACCATGGACCATGTTAACAGGTTGTCTCACATTAGGTGAAATCGTTAATTCCACCTGATGTTTCACTTAAGCCACGACCGTCTCCATTAAAAGCTTAGCCCACCCACCCATTCCGTGGTTCCTGCCGCCCACACGCCCATTACCAGGTTACTGCTGCCCACACGCCCAATCTCTGGTTACTGTCGCCCACACGCACATTATCTGGATACTGTCGTGCACACACTCATTCTTTGGTTACTGCCGCCCACACGACCATTCTCTGGATACTGCCGCTCACTCAATATAGCTCTTATGCTAGAGTGTGTGTGTGTGTGTGTGTGTGCTTAATAGCCCCTGTCTCATAGGCAGAAGCATTATATAAATGGGTTAATTGCACTTGATTCATATACCCTATCATCCCCTGTAACTTTCCACTGACTATAAGGTGACTTGATCACATCACGTGGTTGGCAGGCTCCTTGAGGCGCGGCGTAGTAACTGTTTAGTTCAGCATTTTATAAGGTCGGCGCTCTGGGGCATTGTTACTCAACGCCTCACACAGATCAGACGTATTTTAGAAGGACTATTTAACATAGCTTCCGTCCTTCTCTTAACACTCATAGTTACAGTGATAAGTTACGGTGATTTACACTTGGAACTGTTTCCTCAATGGTTCCTAAATAAACGGATAACAGACAATTGGGTTTCGTTACCAAAAACCCTCTATAATATAAATGTTCAGGCCTCATTAACCTAGACACACTCAGCAGTTAAATGTCCTAGAACATGTGTACATATTTACACCACTAAACACAGTATTCAATAAACCTTTGTGACAACATTTTCATCTGTAAGCTTCATCTCAGCCACACCAGAGAATAACCATCAACCAACCTATTTAATATTTCAATTATGGACATTCATATTTTTTGTTACCTATCACGCCTATTCAACTGTTCGTCCTCCTCCGCTTCTCTCATCCTCCGCCTCTCTCATCATCCTCCTCTCTCATCATCCTCCTCCCTCATCCTTCTCCTCTCTCACCCTCCTCCATCCTCTTATATCATCCAGAATGTAAGAGTAAAAACCCAAACACTTTAAGCATCTCACCCACTTATTTTCCTACCTCAAAAATCTCTCTCAGTGTCTTCTCTCATCTCACTCCGTCCATATCCCGTCAGGCTCCCAACCTTCTCTAATTCTCGGAGATCTGATAAAACAATTTCCTCCTTCCTTTCTTCATTCCTTCCTTCCTTCTTTTCTTCATTTTTATCCCAGCCGTGAATAAGTTAATGAAGATAAATCGCACGAGGAGGAGCTTATCTCTGTTGAGTATTATTATTTTTGTTCTTTTTTTGCCTCACTAAGAGACTGTTTAGGATTGAGAGAGAGAGAGAGAGAGAGAGAGAGAGAGAGAGAGAGAGAGAGAGAGAGAGGCAATAAGGACAAGGTATTTAATTCATCCTCACTAGTTATAGGATACAATACTATCGCTTGAGGCTCTATAAATAGCTATAGGATTTCGGTGTTAACTTGATATAGGTGCCAGAGTGTTACACAGTAATCCATCTATCTATTTAACTCAGTTACAAAACCTCAAAAATATAAACAGCAATAATCATTATCTTAGTTAACGTTCAAAGACGATATGGTGTTGATAAGGAAATATCAATAAAGTCTACGGGGTTTTCATCCATGTTTAAGTTAGTAAGCGTTAATGAACTTGGCAGAATATTCCTTCTCTGGGTTATGTAACTATGAGTCTATATATATTTAATTCCTGTAGTGTTAAGCATGATATCGAATTACTCTGTTTTCAATATTATTCCCATTTTCTGTGAAACAACTGCGTTCTCTATGGTGGTGTAAGGGGGAAACTCAACTCTTCCTGGCTAGTTGAGGTCGAGGTGGTTAAATGATATCTTATTGTTTAATTTTACACATACACGCAAAAAACTTACACAAAATGTGTGTGTGTGTGTGTGTGTGTGTGTGTGTGTTAAGCTGATGTAATTACTAGTTAACCTTGTTTGTCATAAAGGTAAAGACGAATGCGACTTTCACCGTCAATGGAACTTTTAAGATCGAACCTTTTGAGATTAATATTTGACATAATATTATTTAACATATGTAGGGAAGAATAAACCGTAATGGATTACGTCAGGTAAGATGAGGTAAGGTCAGATCAGATCAGGTCAGGTTAAATTAGGTAAGTTTATTTTAGGTCAGGTATGGTGAGGGGAGGGTATGCTAGGTTAGGTTAGGTTAGGTTAGGTTAGGTTAGGTTAGTGTATCTTAAAGTTTTTCACTCACTCAGGTATAATATAAGATACTTGATGACTCCGGCCTCCTGCAGTGAGAATGTCCAGGAAATAACAAGGGGACAAGAGAGTGAAGGAGTAAGTCCCTACCACCACCCCTCCTCCTCCGCTCAACACTGCCAACACGCATACCTGCACCGCCTCCCTCCTCCACCTCCATTCATTCCTCCTCCACTTCCATTCATTCCTCCTCCACCTCCATTCATTCATCCCTCACACCGCCCATTCCTCACTCCTTCCCTTACTTAATTTCCTCCTACGTTACTATTTACCAAGTGAAGGTAGAGAAGGAAAGAACATATATAGTTTTGATGGTATGAAGGAAGGTAGAGTGAGGGAGGTGTGAGAGAAGGAAGGAGGGGAGTGAGGGAGGTGTGAGAGAAGGAAGGAGGGGAGTGAGGGAGGTGTGAGAGAAGGAAGGAGGGTGGTGGGTGTGAGAAGAAGAAGGAAGGAGGAAGTGAGGGAGGTGTGAGAGAAGGAAGGAGGGGTGGTGGGTGTGTGAGGAGAAAGGAAGGAGGGGGGGGGAGTGAGGGGAGGTGTGAGAGAGGGAAGGAGGGAAATGAGGGAGGTGTGAGAGAGAGGAAGGAGTGGGGAGGTGTGAGGAGAGAAGGAGGAAGGAGGGGGAGTGGGGGAAGTGTGCTGAGAGAGAAGGAAGGAGAGAGGGGAGTGAGTGAGGGAGGTGTGAGAGAAGGAAGGAGGGGAGTGAGGGAAGTGTGAGGAGGGAAGGAAGGAGGGGGGGAGTGGGGAGGTGTGAGAGGGAAGGGGAGGGTGAGGGGAGGTGTGAGAGGAAGGAGGGGGGAGTGGGGTGAGTGTGAGAGAAGGAAGGAGGGAGTGAGGGAGGTGTGAGGGGAAGGAAGGAGGAGGGAGTGGGGGAGGTGTGAGAGAGAGAGAGAGGAGGGGGTGAGGTGTGGGGGGGAAGGGAAGGAGGAGTGGGGAAGTGTGAGAGAAGGAAGGAGAGGGTGAGGGAGGTGTGAGAGAAGGGGAAGGAGGTGGGGGAGGTGTGAGAGAGAAGGGGAAGGGGAGAGGTGAGGGGAGGGTGCGATGAAGTGAGTGAGAGAAACAAGACGTGTGGAGTGTGGGAAACTTGTGTGTGTGTGTGTGTGTGTGTGTGTGTGTGTGTGTGTGGGTGTGTGTGTGTGTGTGTGTGTGTGTGTGTATGTGTGTGTGTGTGTGTATGTGTGTGTGTGGCACTGGGCCATACTTGAGAGCCACAGGTGATACCGTAACCGAGGTAGTGGATTCAGCCCGTCAACCACCTCCCATCTCTCTCTCTCTCTCCTTATTTATACATTTCTTCAGCCATCTTTATAAAAAATCATATGGATGAAAAATTACAACTTAGTTAATTCATTTATTAACGTGTGGAGGAGTGATTACTTTATAGCTCAAGAGTGTAAAAAAAATTGATAAATAAAGCCAGAGTTAATAAGAGTTATGTGTTCAAGGGTTAGGAATCAAGCTGGTTCTTAATTGCTCTCGTCACGGAATCCTTAAGTGGCCAGAAAAACAATAGGTGGCACCTCCGTCACCTGTGAGGGTAGTAGCAAGCAGAGGCCGTCAGTGTCTCGCCGGCCGCGGGGAGGGATGCACCGTGACGCTCCGCTCCGCTCCCTCCCTGCCCACCACTCGCAACTTGCACGGGGATATTTGGCGCAAAGTTTGTTGACAAGATTATAGTTACTCACTGTCCCATATGGAAAATGAACTGATCTTACATTCACATCAATATATAATTAAGTGTAGTTAAAATCAGAGAAAATCACCAAAATAATCATATATTGTGGAGACGAGAAAAATAAACCCACGCTTCTTGATTTTGTAGTGAAAATTAACCCCATCGACCAATAAGAGGAAAAAAAATCACGAATCTAATTGAATCTCCATCTTAGAAAAGCGAGAAATTTCCTCCAATATCAAACCAATAAGAATTACCTGAGAAAAATATAAGTGGATCTTTCTTGAAACAAAAATATTAAACTTTGATTTGTTAGAACATGAAGGTATTGAAGCGGGTAGGAATAAGGCCACAGGTAGACGCTGGCGGGGAGCTCCTCCTCTGGTGTGGTTGTTGACGCTACCAAGATGTATTTGGTTTATTTGTAGTTCAGAATTACACCCAGGTTCACTCTCTCTCTCTCTCTCTCTCTCTCTCTCTCTCTCTCTCTCTCTCTCTCTCTCTCTCTCTCTCTCTCTCTCTCTCTCTCTCTCTCTCTCTCTCTCTCTCTCTCTCTGTATCTATCAATTATGTCACTGTGGAAAAATCATTGTGTGTGTGTGTGTGTGTGTGTGTGTGTGTGTGTGTGTGTGTGTGTGTGTGTGTGTGTGTGTGTGTGTGTGTGTGTGTGTGTGCGTGAAAGTAAAGGGATGCCTCTTTTTGTTACCTGTAGTAAATGTACCTGCCTAAAATTAGGGCTATTTTT